TTACTACTATAAAAAAACCATATAAAAACTTTTGGCAATAATCACAATATATCTCTTATATATTAATACAAGTTTTAATCTAACAAGAGTGCTACGAATCTATGTGTTTATGGTTGTATAATTAAATAGCAAGATAATCTGAAGAGACACACTTAAGTACCCAAAATATTCATTCGACTTATTTTAATTTCCTATCAATATATTTAGTGATAAAGGATTTTCCTATTACTGAGACAACATTTTTATTTATTGTATTCAGTATTTCATTGAAAAATAGATTCCTTCAAAACATAAATATTAAAATTATCATTCTATGTAGATGAACGAAAAAATAACTTTCATTGTCATTTGGCTTTTAAAATTTTTGATTAAAGCAGACAAAATTGTCTAGATCATGAAATGCAGATAATCCATTATGATTTTATTCATTTTTAACAATTAACCTCTTAACACTGATATTTATAATTCTAATATTTTCTATTCTATCTCATTTTCATCTATTTTTACTACCAATAACTCTACAAGATATAATTTGTATTTACATTTAATAATTATTAGAGAAATTTAAAATCTAATTGGATCCAATCGAAAATGTATCAAACTCTAAAATCTTCAAAACAGTGTTGGTCATTAGCAAGAAGGGCTATAACTAAAAAAGGTGGAAATATTTTTTAATATTTTAAAATCAGATTTCAGATCCTAGCAATTGTAAAGTTTTTCCATATAGATACCCTATTTTATCAACAAGGGTATTGGTAATAACTTTAAGCTTATTATGCAATGAAAACATCGATGAATTACTGTATCATATTTGGTTGAACAACAAGTTACTCTTAGCCATTTTATATATATAAATATGAAGAGCATTTTAGTAATCAGTATATAATTGGATGGAATATATAATAAATAATGTTAAAGAAAAAAAAGATAGTTGATTGAGATATAATAAATAAAAAAGTGATCAGCCAAACATCAATGAGGATAATTGCAGCTTAGATTGCTAAAAACTTAAATAACTTTGATGAGTCACAATTCATTATTAAGAATGTATAAATAAAAAATAGAAGAACAAGCAAATAATTACAAAGCTTTTACTTTAATAAATCTTAAGAAGAGTTAAATTAAAACAATATTTAATACAGCTTGTCATTTCAAAAAGAAGGATTTTATCTTTTGTTTAACTTAAAAGTTGCATCAATAATTTAAATATTAAACTAATAAATAGGACTCATTTAAATAGATATGTTATTAGATAAACTAATTCTATATTAGAAATAAAATAAAATCGAAAATCATCCTCCAAATTAATTAAAAATAGCGTTTCTAAAATATGCCATATAAAATAAATATGAAAGATATCTATGGAAGAACTCAAAGAAATAAATTCAATCATATTTTAATTAAATTATGGGAGAGACTATAGTAGGTATTATTTTTAATTTAAAGTCTGAGAATGTAATAGTGTTGTAACTTTTAAGATATAAATAATAATAAATGATGATGCAATTCAAGGAGTTAATTAGATAATAATCTCTGGTATATCAAACATTAAATTATTCTTTTATGATTTTTAGAGTTATTTTTTTATAGAAAAATAAGATATTTTTCAATTAGATAAAAACATATTAAATGATTATTTCAAACTCTATACTTTAAAAACTGTTTTAAAATGATTCTTGAGAAATGAAATAATTTTTTTTTCTTTAAGTTTTTAATGACCAATCAAAAAAAGTGGATTAAGTGAGGATTTTTTTTATCTTTTATTCTATTGTTAATCAATAGGTTTTTTCTAATATTTATAAGCAATATCTTATTTATTGTTGTGTATGTTTAAGTGGAAATATTTTGTATCATTTTTTAGTAAAAATTGAAAAAAAGGATTAGACATTATATTGATTTTTTAATAGAATTAGGATGATATAATTATGGCGTGAATGAATATATATTAGATATAAAATATTAAAAAAAATGATTTAGTAATCAAATGTAAAGTTAAAATGTTAACAAGATGATCATAAGGATGAAATAGACACAGTTTGTTACAACTAATATTGTACAAAATTTAGATTTAATTGTTTTAAATGTATTAAAAAAGGAAGAATCCATCATGATCATTTTGATGATGTTGAAAAAAT